GTCAGGAAAGATCCAACATTAGCCTTGGACCTAACCATTGGCTTTCCCAGTGTGATACCAAAGTGTTATTTGGCTGGCTGTTCATTGTGTGAGTGTTCAGTATTCAAAGTGTTTGAAATAGAACATATTTATTTTAGTATAATTTCTTATATGCATACACACACTATACACACACATAAATACAATACAGTGAACACTGAAGTTAAACATTGACTCGTCCCTTATGACTGCTGAGGAACTCCCTTATACTTCACTTGCTTTCTTCTGAGCTCAAAAGCTATTCGTGCAATTGGCTCTCTCATGACAAGCAGACACGGCAGAGAGAAGTTTTATTGGTGTGCTTTAAGACAAGTGTGGGAATTATGATGAAGCAGGTATCCTGTGCAGCCTGCTATCTGTCAGGAACAATTCATCCACTGGAAAACTGAAGCTTGTCTTTTAAGTGTAGAAACAGGGCCCTTTGAATGTCTTTTTGTTTGGGCAGAAAGGAGAAGCAGGGAACGAGGCTACTGAAGATGAAATCAGGTGAAAATGAGCATCACAGGCTGTGACAGGTACTTGTTCAAAACCTTAAGACAGAAAAAAGGTAGAGGAGTGAAGAGTTCAGACTGCTAGAAGAAATGAGAATGTCGTCCGAGCCTAATTAGCCATCAGAAAATAAAGTGCGAGATGTAGGAGGAGAAGGTGGCAGAAAGAGTGTGAATGAATGCCAAAATGGTTTAGAAATAGAAATCAGGGAAATCAGGATGAAATTACAGGATCAGAAGCGTGAGAGAGGTTGATGTTGGCTTCAGAGCATTGCACTGCATGGAAACTGGATCTGTTGGTGTGTGAATATGTCCGAGAAGGTGTTAATGAATTATACTTGAAAATTAGGCACTCTAGATTTCGGTTTATTGTAACAGTTTCAACAAAGTCAATGCCTGAAAGAATCTTTCTGGCTCTTTTATTAACATTAATAGACTTCTTTTACAGCAGCCATTTCCACATAAGATAGTAGGGTAAACACAGCTGTTACCTATGATACTAATTAAGATTCTGTTCTATTCAGGTCAAACAGAGTCAGGGTGCTGCTATTTTGCATGGTGGTTCACTGGAAAGACTCTGCTACACTAAATGGGACAGAACCTTAATTAGTGTCAACCGTGTTTACCTTAATATTTCATGTCAAAATGGCTGCTGTGAAAAAGGTCTGTTGGGATGTCGCTGTAGCTCTCTCTGACAGGCTTTCATTTCTTAATTAAGTTTCTCTTTCTGTTTTCCTATTTCATCTAAACTGACCCTCTCTCCTTTCTACTATCACCTGTCTCTCTCTCTGTCTAAAGCTCTCTCCTCCTCTAACTCTTTATTATTTTTGTTGGTTGTTGTTAAGTGAGACAGTAAGACTGTTACAGGAAGTAGGCCCAGCTCTAACCAGCTGTAAGTGCAGTGTGTTGCAGTGGATCTACAGGCTTGGTAAAGGTGCATCCGCAACTCTCATCGAGTCTGTGTGACTGGGATCCCCACATCCTCATAATCGACAACATACTCTCCCCACATTATGAAATCTACTCTTACGCTTATTAAGCCATCTTAACCCCACCGGGTGTGACAGAGCTCTCTCGCACTGTAGTTTCTGTTCCTCTCCAGCCATCCATCATGTTTTATACCTCCACAGATAGGAATGAAAAGATAATCAAACTGCTGTAATGGTGCCTCAAACAGGATTTTTTCCTCCCTGCCTCTAATAAACTCAGCTAATCAAAAGTTATTGTGGCACTCTGAAAAGCGCCATAAAAATAGCAATTATATAAGTGTTTGACTGCTGTCTGGCTTACATCGACTGTCATAGCGGTGCATAGTAAAGTTCTTTATGAGGCCTCCATACAGAAACAGCTGGGAACAATAAACACAGTCAAGTGATGTGTTTCTGGCCTAATTTCCAGAGGAAGCAGAGTACATCACAGGTGGGCTTTCCTCTCAAAGTTCCCAGTCTCTGAAGGACGAATTAAGACAATATTAAAATCCAGATCCCCTAAACTTTTCACTTTGACTTTATTTTCTTCATTGATTAGGATAAGTCTCATAAATTTGGATGTAGTTTGTGAGATATAGTGGTAGTAATGATTTTGACCTCTGTATGGGTTCAGCTCCAGGGTAAGCTGTGGCAGCTAAGTTTGGCAGAGTGTTGAAGGAAATTAGAAATTTACAGAGTATGGCATAGTTGGTTAGTGAAGATGGAGAGGAAGTGAGATTTACAGGGGTGAGGGGGAAGCAAGGGAGGCAAGGGAGAGTGTCTGTTGAATAATTCAGCGCCCCCTGTCCGTATGAGTTAGCATCAATGAAGTTCAGGGCGTCCACCAAAGACTGCATTACAGCGGTGCTTCTGAAGCATGTTTACCTGTGTGTACAGAGCGTATCACCACAGTGCATTGCACATGTGCAAAGTGCACTCCTTGTATTAACATACACACATTACAGTATATATGTACACACACCTGTGTACAAAGAATTACAAACAGACACATATACACATTTGCATTAAAGTACAAGCAAGCACTTAAAAACAAAATACACACATAAACCCACACAGGCTGCATGTCCCCATAGTGTACACTGTGCCTGTGAATAATTCAGGCGTTGGGGAGAGCAGTTGGCTGCTGTGTGGGCTGGTGCTGAGACAGCAGGTGACCCTGCAGCCAGCATCAAGGACATGGTGGCTCTCTCCTCTCCTCTCTTTCCTCTCCTCTCCTCTTTTTTACCAATATTATATATGGTGTACAGCACCTAGACCACTAATTCTCTATTTTTTGATATGGTAAACAAATGTATTTTTAGTGTATGCATTAAATTATAGAGGACTGCAAATCTTGTGGGAGCGGGTGGTCAAAAAATAAACTGCGGGATTTAGCGTTAACTTGAAGGAAGGAGATAACAAATGAAGATCAAAGCAGTTCATTACAATACAAAAACAAAGCATATGGAAGTCTGACAAATGTATCAGTTGTTACTGACAGAGATGGAAACGAATTGGAGTACAAATGTTCAAAAGTATTGGACTACACCAGGTTCAAATTTGGCACTTCTGGGTTGAGGTGACATACCTGCTCCATTCTCCCAGGTCAAAGTGAGCTCTGTTTCAAAGACAAAGCACTTTTCTTCACCCGTAAAGGGATTATTGACACTTTGTGTTACGTTTAAATGCGGAGGAGGAGAACGTGATTTTGCAATGTTATTACTGACAGGTATACATCTCTTTATTAATAGTACACAGTAAAATAGAAGAGACAAAATCAATGGAACTCTATTATGCAGGCGGGAATTGTCTGAATGTTAGCAGGTGCAGGCGGAAGTGAAACACACATTGCGGGAATGGGCGGTAATAGTCAGAAATACAGCAGGCACGGGCTTCAGAAAACAGTTTGCTTAGTCCATCTAACAATGTGGATATATGATTACAGGGCAGATAAAGCATTGCATCGGCACACATTTCTACATTACTTTTTCATTGTAATATAAGAATGTACAATATTTCTTTACTTTTTTCTGGAGTGTCTGGGTGGCCTGTCAGTTAGTTTAGTAATTTAGTAATTTATGGTACGTGGAGGGCTGGCTTTATGCTTCAGTATAAAATATATTTCATTCACCAATACATGTTCACCCTTACAATTATTTGGTCAGTAAATAATATATATTGCTTTGTCACTTCTCAACAGCCTGAGCCAGTCGTCAAAGAGGCACCACACGAAGTGCTTGACAGGGCAAATGCCAAAGGCATACTGGACAGGATCGGTTCCAACCACCAGCTAACCAGAAAAGATCAGCATGGACATACCATCAGGATGACTAAAACAACCCATGCTCGCACCTCTCAGCCCAACCTCTCTGTTAGTATTCAATCCAAAAACCAAGAGACAAAGGGCAGCAACAGCACTACTTTGTGTGGACATCACGAATTTACTAACAGGCGGCAGTCTACACAAGGTGGGTATTTCAGTCCTATATTTCAAGGGGTACATACGGCTGGAGACATTTTGTAATTATATTATTACCGCTAGTGGTATCAATCTTCTCTATTCCTGGCTAAGAGGAGTAACACTGAATACAGTTTGGTTTAAACAGAAGTAGTTCAATATCTAATTATTGTTACTATTATTCTTCATCCCCTTTTCTCAATGTTTGGTCCGGCGCACTACCTCCAACTTCTATCTCATTGTCTTTGTCCTTCAGGAAAAGCCAAAGCAGTGCGCTTGCGGGCCTCAAAGAACACTGAGTCCAGCTCCTTCTCTTCCTCCAAACTAGAAAACAGCACCAGCAAGAAAAGCATCACCCCCGTATTCAACGTTACAACTTCCACCACCACCCTGACTCCTGCCCCTCCTCCTTCTACCCCGCTGACCCCGGTTGTCCGTCCCCGCAGAGTTCCTCAGGAGGTGCTGAAGCCTGTGGTGCTCGTCCTGCCGCCTGTTCACTTCCCCAGCTTCTTCCCACCTCAGAACAACCGAACGGGATTCACCCCCAGCTTCAACTACAACAAGTGGAGGAGCCCTACTCAAACTGTACCCCTGTCCCGCTCCAGTGGTAGTCTCTCCAAGGATGCTATGGTCAAACCCCGGCCTCTTTTCTGAGCTCAAAACAACCCACATAAATATAAAAATGAAATATAAAAAAAAAAGTATTTACTTTCGTGCCAAATGCTTACCCAAATAAAGTCAGTAGTGTCTAATGCCAACATGTATACAGTGTTATTGAACTGCCGGATTACATAGAGCATGTGAAAATGTAAGTCACCTTAAGTGCTTCTAGAGCCATTATAACTTGTCATTAATACAATGTCATTATCACAGTGTCTTTGTGTAGCATAAAGAACAACCTTGCCACATTCAGAATATAATAAAACTGCATATAACTATAGGGCTGGGCTAATGTCATTTGAATGTCACTACATGATGAATACTTAGCAATTACACGGGGTTCCACTGACCTGAAAAATTAAAAGGACATATTCAAGAAGCTAAAGCTTTTTTTCTTTTGGTAATGCATTTATTGTCACAACAGGTTACATTTACATGGTGTAGAGATGAGTGAAGAACAGAACTGAAATGATTTACAGCATCTCTCTTGTTTGTTTTGTGTGTGTGTGTGTGTGTGTGTGTGTGTGTGTGTGTGTGTGTCTTTTTCATTTAGATCGGACTGCATTCACAGAGTTCATGTCGAGTGCAGGTGGTGGCCCCGAGCCATAGGAGCAGTGTAAAGGTTTTGATAGCAGTGACAGCAGACAATTTTGCTGCGGTGTGCATATTTATGTGTGTGTATTTTGTTAGTGAGGGACTGGCTGGATTTACTGAGGAAGAGGAAATATAATTAACCCTTACTGTCTGGCACAGATTTGTATCTTCTCCATGCTGTCCAAGCAGAGCAAACACTACTGTGTACCACTATTCATAGCCACGAGTGCTTCAGATCTGCAAAAGGCAAAGGACTTTCTTGCTACAACATAAATCTTGGGTGTATGCATAAAGATTCCTGAGGAAATTGTAACATTTGAACTTAAGCAATGTAACATTCTTGAGCTTTTACGCTCAGTTTTTCTATAATATATGCAAAAAAATTACAATCTTAACTAATTTAAAGCTTCAAAAGACATTAAAAACTATTACCTTTCTACTCATCCATCAAGGAATGGAAAGTAAAAATTGTTTTTTTTACCTTTTTTAACCTTTTATTCAAGTGTGGGTTAGAGATGGGCCAGATTTCTTTGTGCCAGCGTAAATCCAGTCATGGTCAAGTGTAGATGACTTGTGCTGAGAGCATCTATTTCTTGTGTGTTCACCACTCTTCTTACCGAGACCCTTGTTCAACTCATCAACATAAAACATATTCCATCAAAAAAACATGCAAAATCAAAACCCACATCTGTTCCCTTTTCTGTCACTAACACCTCATCTCTCCAGTCTTCATCTCTCCAGTCTTCATCTCTCCAGTCTTCATCTCTCCAGTCTTGTGCCCTAAATTCTCTCTTCCTACATACAATCATTTACATACACTTCATTATTACAATCACTTCATTCATCCTCAAAGGAGATGTTAAGTTTTTGTCTGTTTCAAGTCTGTCACACATCGAAGGGATCAAAACATTTCTATGCCGCTTGGAGGTAGGGGGCATGTTGACAGGTCTTGTCTGTCTGGTCTTGGTTGCTTTTAGTATTCATCTGTCAAAAATCCCATGACAGCAAGATGACACCTTTTCTGTCCAGGAAGGCTCCCGTAGCTTGGCGTCTCATGGGTCCAGTGCAGGAGCCCTTACTGTGCTGATGGCTGCTTTTACAGAGAGGTGTGAAAGAAAGTGTAACCAGTCTCTTAATAGAAATTTATCTTTTTCTTCTGGGTTATCCTGCCTCCTGTCTGTCGAGTGCGTGATCAGGTAATCCGTCTAGTCCAGAAATCCACATACAGTGGAGGCCGGGTTTCCACTTGGACACAGCAGCGTTCAAAGGTCAAAGTTCACCCAGTGACACCAGCTTTTCCATTCCTCCTCATCAAACATATTTGTTTTCTTGTTTTTTTTTTTTCTTCCTCAGGATGATTGCTCCACTTTCCTTAATCTGCGGTGGTGTTTGTTAACATATATGTACATCATTGGTTACCATGGCTGGTACTGATTACGTGTTGTTGTGGCAAAAGTGTGTGAGTGGCGTCCAGGCGTCGGCTGGGGGGGCGGGGGGGTGTGCTGTGGTCACTGGTGACGGTCATTGTTGGGGGAGTTCTGATGGCTGTTTCTTGGTTTTCAGAGTGTCTATGAGAGACTGGACGCCACGTTTCACGCTGGTGGTCACACGGCGGGTCACAGAGTCTGGAGAGGGCGAGGAGGAGGAGCCAGCACGTTGGGAGGGCGGCCGTGCCACCAGACACTTCTGATACCGCAGCTGGAAAAGAAGAGGACAGGGTTAGATATGTTTTTATGACTTGGTTTTAGAGGAAACATTACGCAAGCTGTATGTTACTGTTTTTTTATGGATTAAACAAACTGTTTGAAAAAAAAAATTGTTGCGAAAATGTCAAACTTTTCCTTTAAATACAAAACCTTCTTTTAATATCCATTGAGGGAGAGTTACACAACAAAACAACATATATGACACAATATCACAACGAAAGAATTAAATATGAACTTACCACACATGCCGCCTGCACAGCCTCAGACACACTGCCTGCGTTGGGGTCGCACCAGAACACATGACACTGGAAATGCTGGCTCCCAGTGTCCATAATGAAGGCAAATGTGTGCACATCCCGTCCCACGCCCATGAAGGACAAGAAGCGGACACGACACTCCACCAACACCTCCTCTTCCTCTTCCTGCACAGACAGCCAAGAGGAGAATCAGATTTAGGCTCTTAACTCTGCTGTATTAGATCTTCCTCTCTAATCAACAAGCACATTCACATCTTTTATTTATCTGTAACTCCTCAGGGCAGCAACTAAAAGTCCCTTGCCTTTTCTTTGATGACAGCCATAGTGGTGTCAGCAATACTCAGTATGACAGGAGTCCAGTCCTCTTTGCCTGTGGAGGACACAAGGCTGTCTATGGCCCCATTAATGATGTCCATACCTGAGGACAAAACACAGGAGAGTCTGAACAGCGAGATAGTGCGTGACAGAATTTATTACAGGATGTGTTATAATGTGTGTATGGGTTCCAGTATCACTTCAGGTTTACCTATGGGGCGAGTCACAGATGTCATACCCAGATACAGCACATGAAACTTCTGCACCAACTCAGTCTTTGGCATGGGAAACTCTGCAGAGAGAAAACACACTCACATTAAAACACACTCACAGATCATCCGCAGGGAATTGTATCACACAACAACATCTAACGCAGTTCCAAAAGAGAAGTCCACACATGATAATTGGCTTAAACTAGAGAAATAAACAAACACTGGTGAATATTTTAATATTTTAGGGTGCTGTTGACATGATTAGGGCATGCAGGATTTCAGAGTTTGCTGCATGAAAACCCAGCTGTGCCTGTTTACACAGCGGCCTGCAGGCAGAGAAGATTGCTGTACACTGTGAATGAGGATGATCAAAGATGTATCACCTGCATTTCAATCAGCACAGACGTTAACATCCTTTACCCTGAGGACCTTGTTATTGACGCACTGTGCAATTAGCTACATACTGTAAGCTTGAGACAGTTTTTGACAAGGTAAAATGCAGAAGATTAAAAGTGGTTTAATGTTGGTTAAACTTCATAGTTTAAAGATTGTTAATTCTCAATTGTGCTAAAAGACAAAATAATACAAATACAACACAATACTAAAAGGTAAAAACAGAGAATGGACTTAAAAACTGAGTGGCCAATTGCAACATGAAGTTATTATTGAGACGAAATGTTAATGATTGTTGAATCCAGCACAGTGGATAACTGCTGTAATATATAATTGTAGTATGAAAACTTTGATTCGTGCAACCCTAGATACAATAGGTCGTAACAGGCATGACACACCAAAAAAACATTCTCCAACAACCGGGAATACTCTAATGTTGGCAGTCTTAGAATGTGTTTTTAAAACGAACAACCCATGGCGCACTGATCAAACAAATCAATCAGTTGACTGATGTGAAGATGATACCTGCTGTAATTTAAAGACACTCCTGGTACTATTGTGTTTAGAAGTGGTAAGACGTCTTCAAACATGCAAGACATTTTGGAAATATTGGAAGAAAGTCTGGATCAAGCAGTGGTTATCCTCATTTTGAGATTCAGCCCATTGTGAACAATCCACATCTTAATTACTGAATTTCAGAGATTAACAGTTCATCACAAACTCATCTCCGTAGTTCGGTATGGACTGAGTAAGGGAAATCAATCAAGGATTATTACTTTTTGCTGGATTCACCTCATCGCTGCTGCCAGTGTAGAGTATGTACTGCTAAAGGTCCATGAATGACGAATAGTGAGAGTTTCTCATACATGAATTTTATATTATATACAGCGGGGCCATTATCCTGGTGTAATCATTCGGTGCTAATCTCCTAAAATGCGTCCCAACACGGGACTGTGCCGTCCCAGATACGCTGAAGAGATCTAATCCGGGCGAGAACAAGAACTGTTTTCCATCCACTGGTGAATGGACCTCTAGAGCTAATGGACCGGTGTGTCTACTTCAAGGGCATTGCCTCTCACTGGATACCAAGCTGTTTTTTTCAGTTAAAAGACTATGAGTTCAAGCAAGTTATAGCTTTAAAAGATATGAGGGATGTTTCCCCAATACGTTCTTTGATCCTGGGGTTGAGATGGGTCCTGTGGAGCATCAGGCCTTGCCTCAAAGATGCACTAATTGGGTTTTAATGAGGTCGACTGCCTCTGTAAGTGAACAACCGATACAGTTCTTTTATATTCTGATGCCGGAGCTCCATTCCTCCACGCTCAGCAGATACACACACCAGCTGAAGTTACAGCAGAGGATGAATTGTGCTGGCGCTTCTTCTCTTTCTTCCTATAATTACTTGGGACTGAGAGGAACAAGCAGTGGGACTTAGCGAAATGGGAAACAGTGAATAGAATTAACACTGGGAGGATAAAGCTCAGTGATTGTGGAGCGAGGAGTTGTTCTGGAGTCAGCGGTATCTGTGTGTAATTGAACCAAACGCTGCTATCTTTTCTATTAACAAATGTTCACAGTCGTTCCTGAGGCGATAAGGTCATTTTTTAAAAACATATACAGTACATGGTTTTAGATGAGGAACGCTGTAACGCGAGACAAGAAACCACAGCAGGAGAGATAGCACACGGCTGACAAATCCAATTCTCTCACGAGGGAACTACAAAAGAACAAGACTCAAAGAAAAAGATGTGCGTGTGTGCGTGTGTGTGTGTGTGTGTGTGTGTGTATACCTTGTAGGGGTACATCGGAGCCGGTCTGGGAGGAGCTGCCAGCTGCAGCCTTGGCACTTTTTCTTTCAGCCATAATCTAGACGAGGGGAGAGAAAAAGAAAAATGGAGACAGGAGGATAAAACAGGAATAACAGGACAAAATGAGAGAGAGGAAAGAAGGGGGAAGGAAGAGAAGAGACAAAAGGGTGAGAGAGAAAGAGAGAAGAGGTAAGCAACCAGAGTTTGAATGGGGAGAAGAGAAGGAAAGGTATGGATGAACAAAAAAACACAATTTAAAGGATAAGGCTGGTGATATTATAGATTTCTGTTACTGTCAACAAATTCCATGAAAATACTAAAACCAACAATGGATTGGTCCATTTCTCACTTTACATCTCTTCTTTCCTATTTCTCTTCCCTGTCTCATCCCCAGGCCCATTCATTTCTTCTGAAGATCTTCACAAATATATATTTTCATTTTCATTTCCCAACGTTACTCAAATAGGCACAAATTGTGTACGTATTTAGGACTAATTTTGGATTTGGTGTAGTATTTGCAGCAGCAGAATGGTGTTTGTGGGATTGACTCCATAAAAACTACAGTGTTTGTGTTAATGTTGCACAACAATGGGAGCTTTATGGCACAGATGAATAAGATGTATCAGGATATGGCTACTCAGGTAATACTTTAATCAATTCATTGTTATTTTGATCTTTTGTTGACAATAAGAAAAATCTATAATTTTACCAGCCTTATCCTTTAAAATATTCTCTTTAAAATTATATATTTAAACATAACAGTGTGAAAAGAAGCTCTTTTTTCTTTCCTCCTGCTCTTCTGCTGCAGTGTACACACTCTTTAAAGAGTCTTGAATAGTCTGCATGGCCCCTGCACCGAACTACTGCACCCTTCCTGCTATAGATACTTGATTAATTGTAGGTGTCATTAATCAAAGTCTATGGTGAGTCTGCAACTCTGCTCACAGGGGAACATGCAAGAAAACGCATGGACACACACACTCTCTCTCACTCTCTCTCTCTCTCTCTCTCTTGCTCACACACACACACACACACACACACACAACACACACACACACACACACACGCTCTCTCACACACACAAAGGAAGCCCGCTCAGTTCGCTGCGCAGCTGCAAGACTCGGGTCACCAAGTTTCTCCGCTGCAGTAAAGAGAAAACTACCGCTATGTTTAAAATAGGCGGTGTGAAGAGTCATGGTCACACACACATACAGATATGTACACTCTCCTCCTTCAATTTGGAGTAGGCGATAAGAAGAAATTAACAGAAAAAAAACATTTCTCTCTAAATGGGTCAACATGCCTCTAAGGGAGAAGAGAAAATCTGTATTTCCAGGTAGATTCATCCTTTACAAGGTCACTGCTGGCCTGAGGACAGACTGGTTTCCTTTTGTGTACAAAAGGCTTTGTGTGTGTGTGTGTGTGTGTGTGTGTGTGTGTGTGTGTGTGTGTGTGTGTGTGTGTGTGTGTGTGTGTGTGTGTGTGTGTGTGTGTGTGTGTGTGTGTGTGTGTGTGTGTGTGTGCGTGTGAGGGAGTGCGAGAGGGAAAAGGGTTTCTAAACAAGTGACTTATACAGTGTATGTCTAGGTTATACAAGTACCAAGGATCTAATATATTAACATTACACCTCAGTATGCATTGGCTAGCAATAAAACATTCATTGGCTTTCATTATGTTACAGACAGACTAACGCTGACCAATGCACTTCTCATACTTGTGATAGCAATCAGTACAAATATTGTGTATGACTGGAGATGTAGCTGGCTGCACACATACTTTAAAGTATTTTAATGAGCTCAGGTGTTGTTCTATATTTGTGTTATCAGCAATAAATCCCATAAAATAGACCAAACCAACTGTGACTTTCTGAATCAAGTCCATGTGTTCTTACTGAGGACACATTTGTTTAGAAATTGCTATTAATATAACATTTCTTTTTTAAAAAAAAGCTCATTTAGCAAACATTACTCAAATAGGAGTAAATAAAGAATGTGTTAAGCACTTTTTTCAGCTGCGGATTAATACACAATTGTTGCTCGCTTGTGATTATTTCTGGCAGCTGAATGGTGTATGTGGGGTTGGCACAAAATACACAAAACATTGCACAAAAATTGAGCTCTATGCACAGAGGAATATATCAGGACTATACAGTTAATATTCGTTAGAGGAAATAAAGTCTTTTCATGGGATTTGTTGACAGTAGGAAAATATAGAATATTGAATTCCTATAGTCACATGTAGGCAATTTATCTTAATACACCACACAATTAATGCCAAGACAGAAAGAGTCTGAAAAGGTCAAACTGTCAAACAACAAGAAAAACAAGAGTTGACACACATGCTAGCGGCTCTGAGGCTGTCCTTAGGCATAGTGGGGCTTTGAGCTAAATGGTAGCACATCTTAGTGTAGCATGTGCTAATTAGCATTACACACAAAGTACAGCTCAGAATCATGGGAATGTCATAAGTGTTGCATGTATTTGATCATAAAGCAAATTTAAATTCTGAACTGTTTAATGGAGCTAGATTAAAAGTCAGATCACCAAAGTTACCAACGTCAACAAAACAACAACAATGTATTGTTAATCCATACAATACTTGTTGAGATATTGCATAAAAAGCCTAAAGTGCTAGAGGAAAAGTCAAGGGATCACCAAAGTCAGTTGGAATAATCCTCTGGGGACCATGAATGTCTGTACAAAATTAAATCTCAGTCTGTCTAGTAGACGTTGATGAATTTCAGTCTGGAGTCTGGACCAAAGTAGTGTAGCGACCAAATGACAGATGCACATTGCTCATTTCTGGAGGGTCCAGGTGAAGATACTCTTAATTGTACCCCTTTTATACAGTAGACACACACATAATACTGGTCAACTCAATGCTAGTTGGACCCACACTGGACCCATTCATATAGCTGTCACTCTGGTTGTCACTGTAAGCAGAGACTGTAGCCTTCAGTGTAGTTTCATACATACATCATGAAACAGTGGGACCCACATCAGTCTGAATGGGGTACTATTCCCTGTCTTCAATGTAAGTGGGCATATGATTTTAATGGATATCAGAATAAAGTGTCACTCATGCATTTTTAATCGCAAAAAACGATACTAAAACTAAATTAAAATAACCACTGAAAACGAGAACGCTGACTAAAAATAAACGATAATGTGAAAGATGGGCGAATGGACTAATTACTGTTATAAAGCAAAGTCTTATTCAACGACCTGCATTCATCTATAGAATCACGCTGTTGCTCCTGATTAGTAAAACATGTACCCTCCGCTGCCCAAAATAGTTGATTTAGCTTTGACCTTGCACCACCATTAATAAGACACATATAACCTTCAATAATGTTCTCTCTCTGTGTGAGTAATATTAGAAGAAGAATTAGAGAGGAAGTGTCAACAAAACCTCTGGGACAAACTAGGAAAACATCCAGCACGCCGACATTTAAGCCTCTGAATGATGCGCCGCTCTGCAGTGGAGGGGATTTACTGAGGGGAGACAGTCTGTTAAATGACTGCAGAGCAGAGTGTTGGGCACTGTGTGAACAACTTAACTTTTCCACTAACCTTGCGATAAACGAGAATGACACCTGTAACCACGGTAACTGTGCACAACGAAGATGGCTTACATAGCTACGGCCTCAAAAGCTTAGAAGACATAAATATTAAAAAATACAATTAAAAAATGTCACTGATGAAAACTGGACTTAAATGTCTTTAGCTTCTGTTTACAAAAAAAATTATATAATGACTAAATTTGACTAAAAATTTAATTTTCTAAAGAGACTGACGACAAAATCTGAAAGTAACACTGGACTCGTGTACAGCCCCTAACTTTTGTTCCATAGAGGTTACCTATATGATATAATTCAGAATTTAGAAGAAATATCTTATGGCTCCGAACTGAATGTGTCAGGACTTGAAGATCTGGTTTCCTTCAGAGTAAGAAGAAGAGTGAATCTGCACTAAGCTTCAGTATTGACCTCAGATACCTCAAGTGAAACAGCTTTGAGAGCCACTGCACAAGAGGATACCGTGTCAGTGTCACATTTTGACTCACCTAGACATGAAAAGCACACGTGTGTATGATGGTGCAGTATAAAAGTCCACAAAAGAAGCAGTACGGGACTTTCAATAAGGAGACAGCTGTTCCAGTCCCATGTGAAACTGAACCTCGACATTGACTTGTCAGGTACCTCACTAATATTTTCCTAAACCTAACCAAATAGTTTTTTTGCCTATACTTAACCAACTGTGATCTGTACAACATTGTGTAGGAAGCATGGCACTAAACACCCTGAGCCTTAGTCTTTGTGGTAGCCTAGTGCAGCAATAGATAGATAGATAGATAGATAGATAGATAGATAGATAGATAGATAGATAGATAGATAGATAGATAGATAGATAGATAGATAGTGGAGAGAAAGCGTGTGAATCAAATGTGTGATTTCATTTAATGCTGAAGCTTTGCACCTTTAAGGATCTGGGATTACACACAGACACACAGACACACACACACACACACACACACACACACACACACACACACACACACACACACACACACACACACACACACACACACACACACACACACACACACACACACACACACACACACTAGTGAAATACTGCATGTGCTCTGTAACCTGAATCTTATCTCCTCTGCTCACTGGCCCTTAAGACTTCCATGTATCTCTCTCCTCAGCTCTTAGTTCTCTAGAAAAATACAGAAATCTTGTCAGGGCACTGCCACTGTGTTTGAATTTCTGGCTATTAGTTTTCCAAAACATGCATGCAGGAGTTACAACCTCAAAACGTAGCACTGGATCAGCAGGAAAAAGATTTTCCTGCTCTCTTCAATAGTCACCCTAATTAAAGCTTGATAGCTTGTTTCAGAGTAGCAGATAAGCTCACTCATGCGGAGGCAGCGATGGTAATGACACCCACCTTGGAGCAGATTTCGTGGAGACTTGTGGCGATAGCTGCGGCAGGAGTATCACATCGAAACACGTGGCACTTCAACACCCGTGTGTTTTTGTCTCTCGCCACGTAGGCAAAGTCCCTGAAACAGGTACGGCAGACACACAAGAATTATCACACATTTCTAATGCAAGTAATTAACAAACATGACGCACCTCTACAGCAGACATACCAAAACATGTTGCTTTGTTAAAGGGGCTATAAGTGAGCATCTCTGTTGTCCCATAATGCAGGTGATTCAATCATTATACTTCACCAGGTGGGTGATCTTACAGCCTGTACACTTATTTTTCTATTTACATTTCAGTGACTTATGCACATTTCTGTACACATTTCCAATTAACTCTTAAGCTTATATGTGAAAGGACACACAAAACTGAAAATGAAGAAAAAAGAAGGCAGGTTGTTTCCTCCATAAGAAGGGACTTTTTATCATGAGGTAAGGGTTTGTATTTGTGTGTCTGATGAGAGGAGAGAGAATCATTGTTGGTTATTTAGGGTTAAGAAATTTGATAAATAACCTCATTGAATTAATAAACCCATCACAGAATTCCATTTCTTTGTTAATTTGTGTTTTTTTTCCATAATGATCTCATCGCTTTTCCATTCCATATATTGTATGTGGGAGAGGCAGGCGTTATCCACTTAATTTTAATAAATATCTGCTACTCGCTGGTTTTTCAGCAAATAGATTATATTTTTCCTCTCAAAGCCGCCTGATATTACTCCTTGGAGAGCCACTTTTGGACATTGTTGTATATTGGGGAAGAATTTATCTTCTGTAAAGGCTTGAAATACCTCTTCCCAAAGGGCACCTAGCTTAGGGCCAATATGTGGATATGATTGCCAATTTATATTTTACATTCCCTTCAACATTTTTCTTGAGTTTGTTGGGTTCAATTTTGGCATTATCAGTGGCCTCTGGAAATATCTTTATTACTTTCCATTTTCCCAGGGATTTTATTCTCATTTATTCTCATTCCCCTTATGAAGAACTGTTCTGTTGGAGAGGGTTTTAGATCTTTTCTTCATTCTCTATGTGTTGTCAGGAGGTGACCCTTTGCAAACGTCAAAAAAAAAAAGTCTGTCCTTGGAACTGTCTTCTGTCCTGAAACAAAAACTTTCCAACCCCCTCGCTGCACCTGTTTGCATTGTCAGCTGTTGGGGAGCTAAATGAGTTGCAAGACATTTCATGCACAAGTTAGAAAAGCAAATGGCAACACAAAATAATTGTTACCCCACTTTGCATCATGATATATTTACCTCTTCTCTAGACATTTCTTGTTGGAGCTCTGCTCTAATTAGCTCACTCATTTATTGTGAATATGTTGCTTCATTATTTGTGTCACCTAAAGGCTGCAATAAGCTTTGCTGGCATTGCTACAATTGCTTGTACACCAGTTGAGGTTTATTTGATAAACAGATACCTTAAAGCCCCTTTAACATGTGGCATATTGTGTGCTGTTGATCCATAAACAACAGGTTTCACTGTCGGAAAATGATGCTTGCCAATTTTGGCTACAATGACACACACATACACACACACACACACACACCCACCCACACACACGCACAGGTATACATAAGTATACAGCGAGGCAGATGTGTGTCCTGAGGAAACTATGAGCCCAGCGCTTCCAAGTGGTGCCACATGGCAGGGGAAAATGACGAGTACGACGGTGAGACTGAGAGAAGAAGCTCCACAGAGAAAGAAACTTTATGCAGAGAGTGGGTGGGAGATGAAACATAGCTACATGTGGGAGATGCTACACACACACACACACACACACACACACACACACACACACACACACACACACACACACACACACACACACACACACACACACACATATACCCACACACACACACACACACAAGATGAAAGATTTCTTCCTTGTTAACAGGTGAGACAAGCAGCAGAACAAAAGGTAGGAGGATGTGTTTCCAGCCCGGACTGAAATGAAACAGGTAAAGCAGAGTGAAAGAGGGGAGTGGGAACATGCAGAGGAGCCAACTGGATGGTCACCAGATGCAGCTGAACAGCTCCATGCATACACACACACACACACACACACACACACACACACACACATACAGTGCACACTCCCAAATAACCATAGACATAAACAGAAATATGGCAAACACAGCCGGCATTTATCACAGCGGGCTCTTTGTGTTTATGAGTCCATTATCCGGCCCGTCTCCTCTGCTTAATTGTGTGCTCACACACTTTGGGTCGATAATGTTCCCCTCGCCTGTGGCCAGAAAGGAAAGTGCAATGGTGTGTGAGTGTGTGTGTGTGTGTGTGTGTGTGTGTGTGGTGAGTGTATGCATCCAGTGCGCTTCGTTCAGGGACATTTGAGCAGTGTGTCACCAAAGCAGCATGAGTGGCCTTGCCTCGCATACTACAAATGGTTCTTTTATGACTTCTGTACCCTCTCTGGGGGATCAAAACACTATAAAACAGCATGCAACTCTTAATAGGAAATAGCCTATGGCCAGTCTGGCTCGCTGATGATTTAACAGCAGTGATTTAGACCTTCAGTAGTTGCTGCTGCACTCCTGCAAAGAGCAACAGTGACTCTGGGCGAAGCAAAGCCACTGATTTGATGCCTGGAGTGACAGATGTGATTGCACGAGGAGGGGGTGGGGAGTCTTGACACAACGATTACTGAAAAGAACGGAGAAGCACGATCACATTTGAGCACACCACGAAGAGCAGTTACCTTTCTCTGGGTCCCGGGAAGCAGAAGGAAATGAAAGGGGATGAGAGGAGGATGGTGGGGGGAAATAGTAAGGAAAGAATAAATGAGTTAAAAAAAGAAAGTGGATGAGAAAATTGTATTACAGCAAAAAAATGAAAAGGAAAAAGAAAATCAGGAGCGGAAGGTGGGATAGAAAATGCAAGGGGAAAAAACAAGAGTTAATACACACAGCGTAGTGAGTCAGAAACAGACACTCTTTCACCTCAATCTCTAGCTTCCCGTGAGGTGTGTGTGTGTGTGTGTGTGTGTGTGTGTGTGTGTGTGTGTGTGTGTGTGTATGTGTGTGTTGTATGTGTGCACTGGAGCTCAGTTCTGTATTCATTTCAGTGGCTTAGCGTTCCGCTACATTATGACACAGCACACCTTTACTGTTAGATGTGCCAACATACTCGCGCACACACACACACACACACACACACACACACACACACAAAAACACACACACACACACACACACACACACACACCGTGTTTTTACCGCAGCTTTTCCTCCCCCTACTCCCTGTTTCCCTCTACCTTCTCCCCCTCTCAGTCTCTCTTTCATCCCGCTCTTTGCTTTCGTTCTTTTAATCTTCCTTTCCCTTTCCACAGCTCTCTCCATCTCTCCTCTCCTCACTCTTCCCGCAAAAAAGAAAAAAAAGATGCCAGACCGAATGATTCACATCAACACTGTAACTTATCACAGCTGCTCTCTTCCATATAGTCTGTAACACTCTTCTATCTATTATCAGGAACACAACAAAGGAGGCACAGTCTGAATAAAGAACAGAGGGCTAATTCAAACAGCGACTGCCTTTGATTCTTTGATGATCCACTTAGTAAGAAGCAGTGTGTGTATGTGTGTGAGCGGTAGCAGCTGGCACATTATTTCAAACAGGAATCTTCAGAGTCAGAGCATCAGAGCTGCAGCTTCAACTTGCTCTCCAAACAGCCGGTGGTCGCCCACATGCACACACACAACAACACAAACACACAGACATATGGAGGCTAAATCAACACATGTATAAACTCCCTAAAAGCTCTCGCTCGCCACATACAAATGTGTCTGCACACGCTGCATTAAAATGCATCTCTTTCTCTCTGTTTGAATTTCATTCATGATTTTTGAGTCCATGAGTCCATTTACTTCCCATTCTACTTCCTTCTGCTCCATTTCAAATTCAGACTCCATGCTTTTTTCACTGCCAGACACTTTGGTGGAATTGGATTTCGGGGTCAAAATTCTCAATGGCCCAACAGCTTCTCTCCATTTACCTCAACACTACACCCCATTCTTCTCTCTCTACAGCTGATTTGCAAGAGAGTGTCAGACTTAAAGTGTTGCAAGTTATTTAATACAGATGGAAGAACCACATCAGAGCTGATTCAAACCAAGAACAGACTCCTATCTTCCAGAAACCCTTAAACTGACCTCATTTGACTTTGGCAGCACAATACTAAGACTAAGCCAACTACAACTGGACATGCATCTTTTTTCTCTCAGGTTTGGCCTTTTGTCAACACTACACCAGTGGGTTTTCACACCTGACGAGTTTCAAAAACAGGAAAAAAATAGATTTTGGCATAAAATGACTTCAGCCTGTTCAGGCAGTACAATTACACAGCTACCTTTTTGGTGTGTCTAACTTTGTCTATGATCAGTGATTCAAAATGTAAAGCATTTAATGCAAGTAAAGCCGAACACACAAGACAGACATTGTCATATAGTCGTATTTATGTTTCGTTTGCCTTCAAGGTGATTTGATGAGTGCAGGTAATACTGTTTGTCTGCTCAATGAGCTGCAATCAAACCATAGTTTATAACCATGCAGGTGTCTGACAAACAAAGCAGTGTAGGTGTTGATGAAGAGCAAGAGGGAACAGAATGAATGAAAGAATGGAGATTTAACCAGCTGAGAGTCAACAGAGTAACTAGGCTGTGTCTGTCCAAAACTCAGGGCTGGCAAGGACTTAGAAATACTTAAGTCATTAGTCCAAAGCCCCCTGCAAAACAGCATATGCCTGATTTTATATCAACATATTTTATTATTCATTTAACTGTTTGAATGTATAATTTCCTTGTTCCTACATTATACTCTGGTGCCAGGTGTGTAATTCTGCTGAGGGAAACAAAGTTTCCTTCATTTAAATTTCGTTGCCTTCAAAAGAGACCAGTTTTGTCTATTTTGTCTAATGTAAATCAGCCTCAAGAAACACTAAATGTGTAATGTGTGTGTTATAATGTAAATCTGCATTACAATTGGTAAAATATTATCAAGGACATGACCTTAGTGTCCTGTCGACACCTGTCTACATGATGTCTGTAACACAATCTGTTATAGTTTGGCAACCAAATCAGGAAAAACAGCAAATAATAGTAATTTTCCTATTAATATCTACACAAAAACAACCTGAAAACGGAAGTGTGTGTTTATGTTGTTTTCACACATAAACAGTGTTTTAGTGTAGAGAGGAAAAATAGGAGACAGAGTTGTTGGCTTGCTATGGCACTGAGGAACAGTTTTCCCTGACCTCAGTTAATGGAAAGGGTGACACATGGTAGAGACAGACTGGCAGTGAATCAACCAACAACTGAAGATGAATGACACATAGACCTCAGAAATGTAGGGAGAGTTTTCTGGCAGGAAAGTGAGGAGAGACGATAGATAAATAAAATGTTGAGAGAGGGCAGTGAAGAATGCAGGAGGCCAGAAAGCCAAAATGAAAAGGTGGGAGCGTAGAGAGGAATGGGAACGAGGTGGGAGACTCACTGGGGGCTGGGTGGTGGACGGAGAGGTGGAGAAGAAAAAGAGAGGTAAAAAGAGGTATGAGATGAAAGGTATGAAAGCACCAAAGCAGAGAGATGAGTTAAAGCAAGACTCCCACCACTCATGTGTTCTCCTTTTTCACTCTCTCTCTCTATGTGCTCCACATTTTTCCCGAGCTGAATAAAGGATGACTGACTCACTACAACCAATCTCTCTTTGATCCTTATGGCTGTGAGGCAGGCTCTGCTGGAGAGGATGTGTACAACCCGGAGATTAAATTAGGTCATATCTGCAGATGTATGGTGAACTGGTTCTAAGAAAGACGCGCAGAAACCGTCAGTGTCTGCAGCTCTGACATCAGTCGCCCACCATCAGTGGTACTAACAGCATGGTGTGTAGTAATAACATTAGCATATGTACAGTTGAAGGAAAATCCCACTCACATAATTCAATGCTTGATCCCACATATTTTGATTTCACTTATATGTTTAGATGATGATTTTCCCATTCATTTAATTACACAAAAAAGCCACTGAATAGGATGTACAAAGGAAATGCACTGCTGTAAATTGTTAGAAAAAGAAATGTGAAAAGGAAATCTAAACACTGTAGAGCACTCATGCTGAGGTTGGTTGTGTAATGGATGATTTTGCCACCTTTATAATGGTTTTTAAATAAGAATTGATTGTTAGTGTAAAGGAACCTGCAACCCAAACCTGACTTTCCCCCACTGTTGTTTGAGATTTGATTGCTGCTTGTAGCGTTGATGAGCTGTGATGACGAGCTGAAGTTAGGGATTGTCTTAAAGGTGCACAAAGATTGCCATTAACATTGCACAGCTTTTATTTAAACCTAGTATAAGGAGTTTTTAACTGGTTATGACACTAATTTAAAAGACACACAGATGACTCTACATGACCTAAATAAGAAAATGAGACTGTGATTGTGAAGATTTGCTTTAAACGTACAACATGTAATTTCTGCCACTAGGGGGTCTCTCACATCAAAACAATAACGAAAGACAAAGTTTGATTGTGTTGTGATCATGGGAGTGCCACCATTGCCATCACTGTAGTTTGATTATCCCAGTTAGGCTTCCTTCATTGTCCATTGTTCAAGAGGTTTTCATTGGGAGTCGAATTATCCGCAGAGGCCTCCTCCTCTGCAAAACAAATGGACCCTGTGATTAAAACCGATAAAAACACTGAATAAACGTTGAAAATCAGTGTTTCTCTGACGCTGTCCAACTGACAAACGATGTATCAGAGGGCCTGTCAGCCGAACTGCTACTGCAGTGAGCTCAACTTGTTTGTATTATAACTGATGTATAATTATTAGGCAGCCAAATTGTGATGGTTAGACGACTGGGTCAGATCATCTCCAAAACTGCAGTTATGTGGGGTGTTCCCAGTCTGCAGTGGTCAGTACCTATCAAAAGTGGTCCAAGGAAGGAAAAGCAGTGAACCAGAGACAGGCTCACTGATGCATGTTGGGACTGAAGACTGCTGTAAATCAAACTGCTGAAGAAGTTCATGCTGGTTCTGAAAGAAAAGTGTCAGAACACCTTGTTGTTGCATATAGGGAAGCATAACATTGTGACCACCAGGGTGCCCAGGTGGCCATAATGTTATGGCTGATCGGTGTAGTTAAAAACAACCAAGATATAAAAAGTGTATGGTGAAAATGTGGCTTAAAACTGGATAAAAAGTATATTCATGACAGTTTCTGGCAGACAACCACAATGCAAAGAGGATGATGCCACTGACAGGCGACCGTAACTTGAATAAAATATAAGACATATTTCTCTGGGTTTGAACATTGTGGGAAACATTTGGGACAACGTAAGTACACAACTCAATACAATATATGACATAGGTCTAGAGTTTATAGACATTTTAATGGAGAATTGTTATATATAATATCTTTAAACACGTTTTTGTTTTTTTTGAAGGTGTGGTTCACATACAAATGTTGATTTTTTATTGATTATTAATGAAAGTACATGAATAAAACATGATGCTATTTTGTACATTTTGTGAGTAGATAAACTTACACATACTATGAAGAAGCATAAATGGCAGTAGAAAACAATTTTATACAGAAAATAAGGCAACTACTTATGAAATAAACAGATACAGATAGTAGCTTCATTTTAGGCTCTTACTCCACATTGTTTACTTTTGTTTACTTGACCAGTTATCCTTAAAAATAAAATTACCACAAAATAGGAGTAGAATAAAGGCCCATCAGCAGTAACTGCTTTTAGAGATGTTTTGTATTGTTTTTCCCCTTCTCGTGTTTTACCATAAGCATTGCAATTTGCACATGTAGTGCTCATTAATGTAGATAAAAACAGGGATTTCACTGATGATACTGTATTATTTAAATTCAAGTAGTTTCGAAAAAACTTTATAGAGAATAACTTGACTATGCATCTTCAGGTAGTAAAACGGCATAATAAAACTAAAGTGTCCACAACTGCTGCAGTAAAAGAGGCCTTTTAAGAGGCAGAGAAAACAACACAAATGTAACTAGTCCCCAGCCTGCTCTGCTCTGTAGCTTCCAGTATCGCTCAGTAGAGACTCGTGTCCTCTCCAAACCATCTGTCACACTCACACACAAACCCACACAGCACCAGTGCATCACACACACTTCACACAGACTTCCATTATCAAACAGCTTTACAGAGTGTCTGGGTAGTGCCGGCCGCTATGCTAATGCACTTACATACGCTAATTGCACAGGCAAATGCTGATTGGAAATGTCTGAGGAGGAAGTTCTTGTGACTCTCCTGTCAGCAAGAAGTAGACGGTGCGATGCAGCGAGGGCCAGGTGTGTGCGCGATGTATGTGTGTGTGTTTGCTGGGAAATATGTTTATTGATTGCAACTGAACTGGTAACTCCACGATTGCTGACAGGGTTGTGACTTTGGCTTCAGTCCAAAGTGGATGTGGATCTGATCCAGTTTCACAGTCAGATTCAGCGCTGGACTGTGACATGCGAGAGAAACGCTAGAGTGGAAACAACAGACGGTTGGTGATTTAGAGGAAAGCCCTTTCATCACACTGTAAAGAGAATAACTAAACGCCTTGCAGGTATATTTATATTTAGCAGCTGTTCCCCTATAATTATTCTTCTTTAAAAAGCAGTTTTTTTTTGCAACAGTTGTGTGAAAGTCTTTGTTTTATGAGCTTACTTAAACATCCAATGCAGCGTGAAATCCTTCCCAGTGAAGCAAAGCACTCTGCAGTTTCTTTAAGTTGAATAATATAGTCAGTACAAAGGCAAAATAAACACATGATGATGACAGCTATTATAATATTCATGAAAATTATACTAAATCCAGAAAAATACCCCCTAAAGCTCCTGTTGTAAGTGCTGAAAAAATGAGTTTTTATTTAGATCAATTCAAGTCCTCTTGATTGACCTTTATAATCTGCTGGAAAATTCTCCATTTTAATTTGTCCAAACTCAATAAACATTGCAAAACACTGCTGTTAGGAAACTGCTTTTAAAAACTGGACCCGAGTGCTGTTAATTGTGTTTGCAGAAAACAGAAAACATTGCTTGTGACTAAAGTTAATTGTAGTTTATTGTAATGGTATGTAGAATATGGTGATAAAAAGCCCAATAAAATTCAAAGATAAAAACCAGGAAGAAGAGACGCAAAGTACACACTTTACAGAGCCATTAATAGGATTGTACAAAGCGGCTGACAGATATTGGCTCAGTTTTACAGTACTGCACTATTGATGGCCCTGTAAAGTGTCCTCTATCTGGTATTTACAGTTGTGTCTATAACATGCTTAGATATCCAATACTTTAATTAGAGCCTGACTAATACTGAGTGTTTGAGGCCAATACCGTTTATCAATGTTTGAGAGTAAACAAAAAAATAATTACAATATAACAAAATAAAAAAACATTATCATCAGTCCCAGGTTTGTGGTACTTTGTGGTACTGAATAACTAGGACTATTTGAAAATGAAGATTTATTTGACTTGAGAAGAAATTTAAAATTGTGATTATGACACTGGATTTGATCAGAATTCTGAAGTTGTCGAATATGACAGCTAATTACAGAAGAGTAATCCGACCAATCAATGATGTCTGTGAGGTTATTGGTGAAACTGACAGGAACAGTCTCATTACAAACAGAAAACGAAAAGATTAAATCAAAGTAAGTTTTACTCAAATCAAATCATGTCCCTTATCTTTCTGGTGATATAGGGGTCAAGGGTCAACAAGCGTCAACAACTATTCATTGAGCTCTTTACAGCCTCTTCTGCTAGGTAGAATGGGACAAAACCAAACTTTATGATAGCTCAGGACCTGCGCTATTGATGTGTTCACAGTGAGACTGACCAATCCTTCCCAATCACTTAAAACACACAACACAAACCTTTTTTTTTACATTTCTCTAACACATGGTGTTAATTAGTGAGCTTTAGAGGTGTTGCTAATGATCTTTTGACGGAGCCAGGCTGGCTTTATTTGTTATGCTAAGCTACACAGATAATAATCTCCTGACACAGATATAAGTGTTGTATCAATCTTCTCATTTAACTCTCTGTACAAAAGCAAATTTCCAAAAATGTTGAACAATTCCCTAGATAGTGAGGTGGCACAAGGACACAAAAAGTGTCTTTGGAGCTGGATTTTGGAGTTAATTTGGATTTCACTAAAAGTAACACCAGTAAAACCTCTTCATCCACAGTGGCCCTGGAGTACTTAAAGCCTGTGTGTGACAACTGAACAGGGTAAACCCCTCTGCGACCTGGTGAATTAGTCATGGCCCACAGCCATTAGGCCTAATGTAGAATGTCTGTGCCTAATTACCTCTCCACACTGTAAACTTGTTTACAGCACCAAGATGAGCAGCAAAATGAGCACCCAGGGCCAGAGGGCAGAACGAAGGAGGAGGAGGCGCTCTTTGCACTGGCACTGGTACCACATGACACACACTCACAGACAGACAGACAGATAGAAACACACACACACAATCACCAATATTGCCCAAGGCAGTAAAGAACTAGGACAAAATCAAGTGGAAATAAAAATAAACTGTTGTCTACGTGTGTTAAACAGCGTACACAGAACATGGCGCTGCCTGTGTGATTTGAGCAGACAGTTGATGTTGTTTACAGCAGCACCTACGCCTTTAGTTTGATTCACCCTCAGTACCTCTGCATCATTTCTAAGAAAAAAACGTGCAGATTTTTAGAGCTGATGGAGAAATGGTGTTTTACTAAAAAGGGAGAAACACACGCAAAACCACAGTTTATGTTCACACAGCTTTGTGACCCAATTCCAAGTATTCGGTGTGGCAGAGAGGCAAATGAGAGAGGGAGGGGCAACAAGCCGAGGACGCACACACAGTACCCATGTGTCAACAGTCGTCGTATTTCATTACATATTTAAGAGCAGAGATAGGTGGGTGGGAGAGATGGAAGGACAGACAGAGAGAGAGAGAGAGAGAGAGAGAGAGAGAGAGAGAGAGAGAGAGAGAGAAAGTGTGTGTGTGTGTGGGGGGGGGATGAGGGGGAGAAAGAAGGATTCTGGGTGGGCGAGAGAGGGAGAAAGATGATGTCCTGCTGTTCTCTCAGCTCTTGATCATTTATACATCACACTGCTGTGGAGTGTGTGTGTGGCTGTGTGCATGTGACTTTGTACACAAGTGCTGATATTCTCGACCGAGATAAAGCTTCAGTGAGATGTCACTTCAGCAAGACGCCCCCATTCAAGTAACTTACTAATGTGTGTGTGAGACAGAGAGAGAGAGAGAAAGAGAAAGAGAGAGAGAGAGAGAGAGAGAGAGAGAGAGAGAGAGAGAGAGAGATAAGGGAGAGTGTGTGGGAGAGCGCAGGGATTTGGTGTCGAGTTGGTGTTGAGTTATGCCGAGCTCTACTCACAGTGCAGTTTGGATCATACTGTATGCATGTAACCTAATTAGCTGCATGTGCCATAAATCATTATGTTTCATGCACACAGGATACAGTAATTAGTTGTATCGCTCTCTTTCTACTGAATTTTTTAAAGGGTTGCTTCACCCAAATTACAAAAATTAACTGGCTAATATTTTGAGTTCTTTTTCAAGCAAAAATACCAA